ATAAGCACGACATCGACGACAACAATGGCAATAACAACCATGCTGCTAAGACTGATCGCTCCAATCTGCTCAAGTGCCACTCGGCACGTATATCCCAGACCCTCAATACCCGCCCTCCTCGTCTTCGATGGTGCCCCCTTTGGGGTATATCTCTCTTACCTGCAATGTGTATTTCGTGCAGCCCTTAAAACAAGGGAATAGAGGGCGGATGGGAGGAAGGGACAATGGGGAGGGAGGAGGATGGAACACGAGAGAGAGAGAGAGTAGCAGGAGGGGGCTAGGAGCAGAAAACACGTGGCAGAACCAGACGGGCAGATCGGGAGGGTAGACCCTACCAGGCGGGTCGGGAAGGAGGGCCCAGGCGGTCAGGTCGAGCAGGCGGGTTGCTCAAGCGTACGTCCTGCATGAATCGCGAGGAAGTCTCGAGCGACAGCTCGATTCCCAAATCAATCGTGAGGAAATCCACAGCGAGAGCGTGACTCCTGAATGTCGAGGACGCGGCGCCTGAATAAATCTTAAGGAAGTCCCACGCGAGAGCGCGATTTCTGTATACAGTGTGAGGAAGTCCCGCGAGAGAGCGCGATTTGGGAATAACTCGTGGGGAAGTATCAAGCGGGAGCATGGGGTATTGCTGTTGTAAACGAAGGCCAAAGACATAGTTTGGTGATAAGTGTCTTTCATGTTGCCCGTGTGTCTTTCATGTTGTATACACCAACCTTCGATACCCGCCCACTTCGTCTTCGATCGCGCCCCCTTTGGGGGGGGAGATCTTCCTTGTCGGCCACTGGCCGAATGGCGAGGACATCTCGAGCGAGAGCGCCGTTCCTGAGTTCGGAGGCCTCTCTAGCCATGGCCGTTCGGAGAAAACCGTGAGGAAGGATCAAGCGGGAGCCCTTGTCATCGTGGCTGGACCTCCACCAACTCGACTGAATCATCAGGGGGTATCCAGCGAGAGCGCCGTTCCTGAATTCGGGGGCCTCTCTGGCCAGGGCCTTCTGGAGAGAGCCGTGAGGAAACACCGAGCGGGAGCCCCTGTCGTCCCAGTTGGACCTCTACCAGTTCGGGGGGGGGCCTCTTTCCTGCTTAGGGGCTCTCGGAGCAAATCGTGAGGAAGTATGGAACGGGAGCCCTTGTCGCGACGGCTGGGCCTCCGCCACCTTGGCTGAGTTTCGAGGAAGTCTCCAGCGAGAGCGCCGTTCCTGAAGTCGAGGGCCTCTTCTGGCCAGGGGCTTGAGAAATCCATGTCGACAAGTATCGAACGGGAACCCTTGTCGCCGTGTCTGGGCCTGCACTAACCTTCTTGGATTACGAGAAAGTCTCGAGTGACAGCACCGTTCCTGAGTTCGGGGGCCTCGCTGGCCAGGGCCTCCGGGAGTACATCGTGAGGAAGTATCGAACGAGAGCCCTTGCCGTCACAGTTGGGCCTCCACAACAAATTTGACCGAATCATGGGAAAGCATCTAGCGAGAGCGCCGTTCCTGGGTTCGGGTGCCTTCCTGGCCAGAGATTCTCGGAAGTACCGAGCAGGAGCGCTTGTCGCCGTGGCTGGGTCTCCGCCAACTTGACTGAATTGCGAGGAAATCTCATGCGAGAGCGCCGTCCCCGAGTTCGGAGGCCTCTCTGGCCAGGGTGTCTCGGGGCGAACTGTGAAAAATATCGAACGAGAGTCGTTGTCGTCGCAGCTGGGCCTTAAAGGGCACTCATTTACAATCAAGCCCGCGCTCGAGCGGGAGTCTCGTTTTCAGAGGAATTGCAGCCGGCGTCGGGGCGAGAGCTCGCAGAACCCTTTCCAGAGATCAACAATACTTTCTCAAGAAATGAACAGTCAACAACATCATCGCCACCACCACCACCACCACCACCACCATCATCATCATCATCATCATCATCATCATCATCATCATCATCATCATCATCATCATCATAATCAGCATCATCATCAGCATCATCATCATCAACATCATCATCATTCTCATTACGGTGGTTTCGTGCGTCGGCGCGCACACAGATTTGTGACACCGCGCTGATCGTTCAACCTTGAACCGATCGCGGCCCCGATCGTTACAGGTTGAATTCAGTCGGCTCCAATGGCGTTACGGAATCCATCGGTGCTTCCGCGTCGCAGAATTCAACTTTGAACGCATTCGCCAGCGTCGCTGGCGCGCCAATGCCGCACGAACCCACCGCAGCATCATCATCATCGTCATCATCATCATCATCATCATCATCAGCAGCAGCATCATCAACATCATCGTCGTCATCATCATCAGCATCATCATCAACATCATCATCGTCGCCCATGATCGTATGAGTCATCGTCGTATATATCATCGCCACCAGCACCACCACGATTACTATCGTCATCGCCACCACCGTCAACATCATCATCATCATCATCATCATCATCATCATCATCATCATCATGATCACCATCACCATCACGATCATTATCACCAGCATCATCATCACCATCATCATCATCATCATTATCATCATCATCATCATCATCATCATCATCATCATCATCATCATCATCATCATCATCATCATCATCGTCGTCGTCATCATCGTCATCGCCACCACCATCAGCGCGCCGCCTCCTCCTCCAACTCAAAATCGCACTCCCCACCATCACCACCACAATTACCATCACCACCACAACCGTGACCATCATCAACAGCAACATCACCACCACCAGCATCATCACCATCATCATCAGCATCGTCGCCAATACCATCAGCATCGTCACCATCATCAGCATCATCATCAAACCATCATCATCACCATCATCATCATAGTTATTGCCGTCAGCAGCAACATCGTCAACATCGTCAATCATCATCATATCATCATCATCATCATCATCATCATCATCATCATCATCATCATCATCATCGCCATCAGCACCATCATGATGGTCGTCGTCGTCATCGTCGTCGCCACCGCCGTCCTCGTCGTTGGGTCCATCGGCACAAGGCGGTCCATGAACGCGCGCGCGCGCTGCACCTGTGATCCTCGACAGCCCATCTTCGTCTCCACCCTCATTGTCTTCCTTCCGTCTTCCTCCTCGTCTTTCTGCGAGCACCTTGCGACTAAGCCCCAAGCTTACCCGTTGCGCGAATCTCATTGTCGGCAATCGGGCTACCACTTGCTGGCATGAGCTGGTTTCGCCGGCGCTGGTTTCGCCGCCGCTGGTTTCCCCAGCGGCTGGTTTCGTCGGCGGCTGGTTTCGTCGGAGCTGGTTTCGCCGGCGCTGGTTTCGCCCCACTGGTTTCGCCGACGGCTGGTTTCGCCGGCGCTGGTTTCGCCGGCGCTAGTTTCGCCAGCGCTGGTTTTGCCGACGCCGTGTTCGCCGTCGTCGTCGCCGTCGGCGTCGCCGTCGCAGCCGTCGTCGTCGTCGTCGTCGTCGTCATCGTCCTCGTCGTCGTCGCCGTCGTCGTCGTCGTCGTCGTCGTCGTCGTCGTCGTCGTCGCAGTCGCAGTCGTCGTCGTCGTCGTCGTCGTCGTCGTCGTCGTCGTCGTCGTCGTCGTCGTCGTCGTCGTCGTCGTCGTCGTCGTCGTCGTCGTCGTCGGCGTCGGCGTCGGGCGTCGGACCCGAGCGGGCGGGTCGGGTCGGGCGGGCGGACCATAGAGGGCGAGTCGGTTCGGGTCGGGCGGGCAGACACTAACGGGCGGGTCGGGTCGGGCGGGCGGGACATTAAAGTGTGGGGCGCGCTCGACCGAGCACGCGCGAACCCTAACGGGCGGGTCGGGTCGGGCGGGCGGACCTTAGCTGGCGGGTCGGATCGGGCAGTTTCGCCGACGGCAGCTGGTTTCGCCGACGGAAGCTGGCTTCGCCGACGGCAGCTTGGGCGAAACCAGCCGGGCGAAACCAGCCGTCGGCGAAACCAGCGGTTGCCCCACGTCCCCTGACCTCGGCCGTGGCGAAGTGCGGACCGCCGTTTGTCCCTCAATCCTGGTCCAGCACCTTCCTCGCATTCGCCCTCTTGCCCCTCGGCCCGCCTCACCCCTTTTCTCCTCCTCATACTGATACTGCTGCTGGTCCCGCTCCTGCTCGTGTTCCTCCACCGCCCCCTCCTTGCTCATTGAACAAGCTGTTGGGCGGACAAGTACCCGTAGCGTCAGCAGCGCCTGTTCAAGCAGGCGCGCAAGACAGACGCCTCGAGCTCGGTCTCGAACACGGGCGAAGCAGGCAGGCAACCGAGGGGGCTAGCGCGCCCGCGGAACACGGAGCCGCCAAGGATCTAAGGCCAGTTACGGACAGCTCGATGAGCACGCGATCGACCTAGCTCGAAACCCCAATGAGGAATACGAAGATCCTCACGCATGCACCCCCACCACCCGCCGCCCCTCTAGACGCTGACCGTGCGCGGCCCACGGCGGGCGCCTAGCAGAAGAGCTCGGCAGACAGAGCGACATCTTCCGCCGAACCCCCTCCGGGGAGGCCCGAGGCTGAAGTAGAGGAGCGCTACGCTGGCAATCATCGCCAGCGGCGACTAGCCCACAAGGACGTGCATATCCCCCAATCCTCCATCATGCCCAAGCCCCCCTCCAAACCCACCACCATCACCAATGCACGTTCGAAGGACCAGCCACCGGCGCCAAGCTGCACTGAACTAGCGGCGCCCAGCCCATGCCACAAGCGTTTTCTCCGACATGAGTAAAGAGATCGGAATGGGAGGCCACGAGCACACTCCGAGAGACGCCTATGTCGACCATGGGAGGCTGGCCGAACCCACAAGATCAGCCACGGTCACACTCATGCACTCACTTTCGACGTCTAGTTTGGAAGTGGCGACGACGAAAGAGCTCACTGCTCCCTAAGCACGCCGGCAGCAATAGTGACAAAGAGGAAGAGCAAGGATATCAACAGCAAGCGGCACCATGCTGCGGCTCGGCCACTGCTGTCGACCAATACACCCAGATCAGCGCGCATTCAAATAAACAGATTTCGTCGTAACGCTCCTCCTCCTCCTGCGGCTCCTCCTCCTCCTCCTCTTCTACCGCCTCCTCCACCATGACAGGCACATGTCCTAAGAAGACGAAAAATAAGAGCTGGAGGCAGCACTGAACTGGCAGGCTCACTGTCTCACGATGCTTGTTCGCTCAAATCCACGCCGAAGCCGTGCTTGAGACTGTACAGCCGCTTCACGGTTGCAAGCATCCTCTCCGAGATGGCCATCCTGAAATCGCCAATACACTGCTCGTCGCCGCCCTGAGCTCCCAATCAAATGGTGTCAACCGAACCTGTGGACAAACTCCCGTCTTCGTCCCCCCACCCTCCGCCGTCCTCAACCTCTACGTGACGCGCGCCGTGGGATCCAGGCACTCCAGGTCAAACTGCTTGGAGCTCGCCGTGAGGACAACGAGCAGATTCGACACGGCCGAGGCGTAAGCGAAGGCGAACGAATTGGCCAGAGCTGGCCCCAGCACGCCAAGCACAGAGGCGTAGCCAAGCCTCGGGAAGGGAACCACGATCGCCTCCAGCCACATCGCCTCCAGCAGCACAAGCATGCGTTCCAGCAGCACGATCGCCTCCAGCAGCACGATCGGGTCCAGCAGCGCCCTCGCCTCCAGCGCGATCGGACCCCCCATCCTGAAGCGGAAGGTCAACGTCTCCTGCGCCTCCACGCATTTCCAGAGTCGGAGCAACATCGGCTTCACACAGCAACTGCCCCCCGGCGCCTCGAGGCTCGCCTCCCGAAGAACCAACGGCAGCAGCATCTCCAGTCGGCTTCCTGTCATCCACGCCCTCGGTCTCCCTCCCCATGCCCTCGGGCGCCTCCTTGCTCTCCTTGGTCTCAGACTGTTCCTCCTCATCCGTATCATCGGGGTCCGTGTCGTGAGGGGAACTAGGAACGTGGTCACCATCCCCAGTCAGAGGCTCACGACAAACCTCACGAGGAACGTGGGCACCAGAACGAGGGCACAATCGCCAGGAACGTGGTCACCATCGCCAGAAAATTGGGCACCACCACCAGGAACGTGAACACCAGGAGCGTGGTCGCCATCACCATCACCAGGAAGATAATCACTCACCTCATCGATGCTCAGCCGCGTGAGCGCAAATTCAAAGCCTGGAGAGCCCACCGTGCCCTCGATGAGCACGCCAATGGGACTGTGGTCAGGTCATCCGAGGGGCCACTACCTCGGACACCTCGAACTTCTCATCGGGCTACGCGGCGTCGCCCTTCCAGCAGCCTGGTGGCATGAGGCCAGGTGGCACCGGGGGGCAACCGCGGTTCTCGTTGCACAAAGGAAGCACAGATAGCTTCACGGATAGCTGCTCGCCCATTGCGAAGACATCTCCGCACTGAAGAGGTACGGGAAGAATATGACGGGAGTCAGCCGGCCTCGGTCACCATGGCAGTGGCGTCCAAGGAAGACGAAGCCGAAGCCGAAGGGGACGAGGCAGCCGCACCTGCGGCCGCAGGCGCACGCCTCGCTGACCCCCAGCCTCGCGGGGCAGCCCGATGGCGCGGCGCAGCGCCGCGCGCGCCCCCGCCGCGGGCGGCCCCCCACCCGCGTACGAGAGGTCAGGGCTCCTCCTCCTCCTCCTCCTCCTCCTCCTCCTCCTCCTCCTCCTTATCATCAGCATTATCATCGTCGTCATCACCAACAACAACAGCAACAGCAACAGCAACAGCAACATCATCATCATCATGATCATCATCATCATCATCATCATCATCATCATCATCATCATCATCATCATCATCATCATCAGCATCATCATCATAATCAGCATCATCATCACAATCATCATCATCATCATCATCATCATCATCATCAGCATCATCATCAGCAGCAGCATCATCATAAACATCACCATCATCATCATCATCAGCAGCAGCAGCAGCATCAGCATCAGCATCAGCATCATCGGTATCATCATCAGATTCCTTTTCTTTATCCTCCTTCACCTCCTCCTCATCATCATATTTGTCCTCCTCTGCCTGTTGTTCCTCATTTCTATCAGGAGCGTCCGAGTGCCCATCACTATCACCTGTCATCCATCTCATCATCATATCCATTCCCCTCATCCTCCATCTAATTTTCCCTGCTCCTCCTCGTCGTCTTTACTCTCGCTCCTCCTCATCATCACCATCCCCGCCCCTCCCCCTCCTCATCCTGCATCCCTCTGCCCACCCACCCTCCCATGGCACCGAGAACACGAGCGGGGCCAGAGCGGGCCCGGCGCAGCGGAACGCCTGCCAGGAGAGCGGGGAAGGGGGAGAGAGGGGGGGGAAGGGGGGAGGGGAAGCAAGAAGGAGCGGGGTGCTAAAGGCCCAGCGTTGGCTGCGTCCGCAAGGCCGCAGTCTGCGAACAGGAGAGGAGATGGGCACCGACGACCGAGGAACCTAGCGAAGGGCCACGGAAATCAGGAGCACACCACGGAAGGGGCGAGCAAGATCGGGGCGGAATGGAAGGGGGAGGAAGGGTGCAGGATTGGGACGACGAGGATGAACGAGCAGGAGAAGGAGGAGAAGGAAAGGAGGAGGAAGAGGACGACGACGACGAGGAGGACGTGAAAAACCAACAACGATGAAGCTGAAGACGACGACGACGATGACGATAACGACGATGATGCGAACGGATGCTACAAACACGGGGGAAAAGGCTAGTAGCGGCAGTGGCAGGAAGAGAAAATACAATACATTGCGTGCCTGCGTGAGCCCCGAACTAATAAGTTCTTGCACTGCGGAGGCGAAGTGCACGTTATGCGGTGTTATATCTCTAACGCAAGTGAGAAAACTGGTGCAACGCAGATGCGTGACCCGCGCATGCCTGCGCGCGCATCGGCCAGCCAGGTTGGCGCGACCGACGCGAATGCGGTGGCGCTGAACGGTCAGCACACCCCAACGCGCACTTCAGTGCGAGTCGGCGACCTGGGCGGGCGAAGTATCATGGCAAAGTCGACAACGGTCGACACGATGATGATAGTAGCGATGCTGGTGGCGATGCTGACAGCGACGACGGGGCAGCCAGTGACGGCGCCGATTCTGATAACGCCGACGACGATGACGGCGTTTTCGCGTCGGTGATGAAAGTTTTGGAAGGAGTTCGACATGCATGCGCGGCAGACGCGCGACAGTGGCCCGCATGGTGTTATTTGACGCGGATCGTGCCACCCCAGCACGCGCGCAAGGGCGCGCGAACGATTTCGACATGCGGGCGCGAAGCCTGTTTTGTAGCATGGTGTGAAAATGTTGAATGCCGACGGTTTTTTTGAATTCGCAAGAGCGCGAGTGCAAGTCTGTGTTTAAAATCCGTGTGGCGAAACCATGTATGTAGTGTTGGCACTCGATTTTAAAACCCTTACGAAACCGACGGTTTGTGAAGGATTTCGGTATGTGCGCGTGTGCATGTCGTCATCTCCGCTGCACAGGATTATTGGAAATTTCTAAATCGTGATCAACGAGTGCGCGCGCAGTGTATTTTTTGCAAGGGATGGCGGGGGGACAGATAAAGGCTTACCTGGGATGGTACGAAGTCATATTTAACGTGGACGATGGGGCAGAATCATATGCAAATTGAAGTACGGAAAGGAGGATCGATAATTCCAGGGGTGGTTGAGTCAGGTCTCTTTTAATAAAGGAGAACAGAGATGGAGCGCAATAGATGTTGTGCATTCTGTGTGGTGCGATTTGTGTGGTGCAGACTATGTGATGCAACCTACGTGGTGCAGCCTACGAGTGTTCACAAATGAACTGTCAGCTCCATTGCTCGTGCAAACACCCCACCTTCCCACCTGCAAAGTGTTTTGCGCAACCCATGCGGTTGCGATTGTGGTGACTCCTTGGCACTGGCTGGCGCATATCTGCGGCTGCGCTAGCGCGCGCTAGTTTGCGCGCAGAACGGCTAGCTTGTTTGGCACAACCTGTGCGGCCGCGATGGCACTTACCGATTGCAGTTTCCCAGCGCGTCTCAAAGGCCGCGCTGGCGCGCGGGCACTTCAATGCGGGTCGGTGACTCGCGTGGGCGCAGTATCATGATGACGTCGACAACGACGGCAGATGATAGTAGCGATGATTGTGGCGGTGATGACGATGACAACAGCAAGGCCAATGGAGGCGACGACGTTGGCAACAGCAATGGCAATAATGATGTCCATGTGTCGGTGAAGGAAGTGCTTGAGTGATGATGGCGACAATGGCGGCGATTGTCGGCGCCGCTGACGTGATACGACGGCGCGCTGATGAGGGTGATGTTGAGGAAGTGCGCGCGCGGAAATTCAACAAAAACTTGCATGCTTGCGATTGAGCACCAAGTTGTTTTAAGTATGTGTTTGAAGAATTATAGATTGCAGCGCTTCGAAATCCAAGACTGGGAAGGATTTCGACACGCGCGTGTGGCGGCGCGTGCGTGCGGACGCATGATATTATTTGATACGGATTCGTGCACTGGGCGCATGCTGGATCAACGCGGACGCACCGCATGGCGAGATGAGGATGCGGCTTCTGGACGAAATTGGACAAAACACACATGGTTTCCTTTGATTTCAGCGAATGCGCGCGGGAAGACTATCTGCAAGATTTGCGATGGAAAGACAAAAATTGCTCCAAATGCGTGCATGCTAGACTGCCTGTAACACTGGCGTGCTTGTCATGCGTTCGACATATGCGCGCGCGAGTGGACTATGTGCTCTGTTGGATAAAGGGACAATTCAACAATTATCTTGGCGATCGTATTTTTGTTGGCAGGGATGAGGAGGGGTCGATAATGGTGGGTGGCCCTGGAAGGGTATAATTCAATTGGAAAACGAACGACGAAACAGAATCCTATGTAATTTGCAGTGTCCCAGGGGGCGCCGATAAGTCCGGAACGGGGAGGGTGGTAGAGTCTACACATCTCTTGGAAGGAAAAACTACGGGGTGCAAGCCACGTGGTGCGACTGCGGGGTGCAGCCTCCTGGCGGCGACGAAGCCACTGGCCGAAACCTAGGCAAACCCAGCCAACGCACGAGTCGGCGACGAGCGCAGCGAGCGCCCCCCACAGGCGGCGGCGAGGCGAGGGAGCGACGAGCGGCAGGCCCAGCCAGCGCGCGAGACGGCGACGGGGCGCCCGCGGGCATGGGGCGAAAACCTGGCAGACCCGGCTGGCGCACGAAGCGGCGACTACAGTTAACCCGTATCATAAGGACGCACGATGAGGATGCAGGGGCCTTGGGAGGCCATGTCGACAGGGTGCGAGCGAGGCCTGGCCGGCGAAAGCGGCCAAGGATGTCCCGAGTAGGAAGGATGCAAGGGTGACCTCGGAAGATCGCTCCTCCTGGCTATGCGGGTTGACTGTAGGCGGAGATGCGCTGGCACTGGCCGAAGCCCTGGCCAACCCAGGCGATTACTCAGGAACAAAACTTACTGCGAGCACTGCGTGGGGAAAGTGGGGATCAAAGGCCACGAGGGCACACTCGACCTCGCCCACACCATTGCTCTGGCGGGGATGCATGCCGTCGGAAAGCAGGTGCGAACGTTGCCGTTGAATGTCTGAGTTGGGTTTGCGTGTACAGCGTTGGCCAAGTTGACCGTTGGAGTAGACGAATGAGCACTGCACTGACGGCATGGCATCGCGTCTTCCCCCTCACGCTCCTCGTCTTGGCGGCGAGCGAGGGGGGGAAGTGAGAAGGAGAAGACCTTCTCAGAAGGCGGCGGGACTCCTCAGAAGCCCTCGCACCTTCTGAGAAGCTTTCTGCGTCTGCGGGGAAGGCTTAGAAAACTTCTCAGAAGGCCAGGGGACTTCTGAGCCTTCTGAGAAGGCACGACCCTTCTCACTTCCCCCCCTCGCTCGCTGCCGATCCTCCTCGTCTCCTCCTCCTCCTCCTCCTCCTCCTCCTCCTCCTCCTCCTCCTTCCCCTACTCTTTCTCCTCCTCTCCTCCTCGTCCGCTTCCCCCGTCCCCTCTTCCTCTTTCGCCCCCCCTCCTCCCCCTTCTCTCTCCTTCCTCCTCCTCCTCCTCCTCCTCCTCCTCCTGCTCATCATCATCATCATCATCATCATCATCATCATCATCATCATCATCATCATCATCATCATCATCATCATCCACCTCCTCCTCCTCCTCCTCCTCCTCCTCCTCCTCCTACTATTCCTCCTGAGAGTCACGTGGAAGCAAACGGGTCAGTTTCTTGAGTCCTACCCCGAAAGTCTGAGCAGACAAACAGTGATCACGGCAACTACAATTTACCCTCGGTAGAACACTCTGCGCTTCTGTGAAACGGCCAGCACACGCGAATGTGCAGAAGCCTACGTCAAAGCCTGCGTCAAACAAGCTTGGGGCCCGGGGTGGGATGAGGCCGTAATCGGGGAGGTTCGTGAAGGTCAAAGCCCGACCTGCCCCCAGATCGCGTCGCAATGTGCCAAATCGGAAATTGGGGGGGTGCGAGACCGAAGCGAAACGAAGCCCAACGACCAGGAGATCGGTTTCGGTGTCTGCTCGTGTGGGCGAAGCGAAGCTGCGCAAGTTCCTGCTCTAGCTGGACCAAGGTTGCACCAGAATGAAGCAGGGTCCGGCCACTGGCGCGTGCCAAAAGTTGTTGCGCGGTTGT